AGGGATCAGTATGGGGCCCAGTGCTATTTAATGTCTTCATAAGTGATCTGGAAGATAGGATAAAGACAAAGTTTTCTGATGAGACCAAACTGAGTGGGGAAGTGGGCACCTGGGAAGAGAGAAGCATCCTGCAGGAAGACCTTGATAGGCTGGAAGAGTAGGCTAACAAGAAGCTCAACAAGGAGAAGTGTAAGTATGCTTTTCCCCCTGGAAAAGCATAATCCAGGAGTGCAGCATGGGCTGGGATCTACCCTTTTAGGGAGCAGCTCTGGGGGAAGGCACTGGTGGACAAAGGCACTGGGGGTCCTGGTGGACAAAGCTCAGTGTGAGGGACTGTGTGCTGCTGTGGTACAGCAAGGTGACAGGATGCTGGGTGGCATGAAGGGCATCACCAGCAGAGATGAAGAAATCATTATCCCACTCTAATCAGGGCTTTTCAGGCGTCACCTGGAATACTGTGTTCAGTTTTGGTGCCTGCTATACAAAAAAGATGTGGACAGGCTGGAGATGATCTGGAGAAGGGCCACAAAAGATGATCAGAGGCCTAGGAAACCTGCCATGTGATGAACAGCTGAGAGAACTGGGTTTGTTCAGCCTTGAGAAAGGAAGGCTTACAGGAGACCTTATCCCCATGTTCCAGGATTTAACAAATGGCTACAGAGAAGATGGAGACTCCCTTTTTACAAGGAGTCATACGTAAAAGATGAGAAGTGATGGGTACAAGTTACTGCTGGCAAGATTCTAATTGGACACCAGAGGAAAATTTTTCACAATGAGAATGATCAGCCATTGGACTAATCTCCCCAGGGAAGTGGTGTATTCTGTAATGTTGGACACTTTTAAGGTTCAGCTGGAGAGGGTGCTGGGCCATCTTTGTCTAGACCATGCTTTTACCAAGAAAGATTGGACCAGATGATCCTTCGGGTCCCTTTCCAACCTGGTATTCTATGATTATATTATTTTATACACAAATCTATAGATTGTATTAGAAGCTGGTCTTGTGTTCTTTTGCCTTGTTGGAACAAATGTACGCTTGGCTCCCCTTTCCAGCCCCTTGTAAGCCTGACCTCCAGGCCATGCTCTCTGCTGTGTTTCATTCATGGGCAAGATACTTTACTTTTGGCTCTGTGCAGCCCATCCACTGCCCACCTCCATCTTTCTCAAGGGACTCTTCAAAAAACAAAACCGAGAGACCACTTGCTGGTTTGTTCTGTCCACAAACAACTGAAAATCTCTTTCTCTTCCTTCCACATTTTTCTTAAGACTCTCTTGTTACAGAAGCTGTAAGAGAAACACTTGGCAACCAGCAGGCTATGGATTTGATGAAGTTATTGTTGGTATCCTGTTCAGGGTTATCACACTTGTGCCCTGTGCTCCATCTCTGTGTGTCTTGTCTGAAAAGCAGATTGTCAGGTATTGGAGGCAGAAATTGCGAGCACAGATCCCAGGTTGTGTGGTAATGCAAATAAATGACCAAAGCAAGAGAGCTGCATGCGGGAGAGTCCCAGGGACTAAACAGCAGCTACAGAAAGGCAGGGTTTTACGCAGTTAAGCTTAAACTTCTGTCAAGGAAGCAATGAGATTTAACAGGCCTGGTCAGGCTCTGCCCCATGGACAGTGGTATGAGTAATCAGCGCTGAGAATTTACAGTGTTTTTTCCCCTTGTGGATCATCTCACCACTGACTGGCCTCTAAGTGGTTTTTGCTCAGCTTAGCAGCTGTTTGTACATGTGTTTGATCTAGATCAAGGCTACAGTGTTATCTGTAGAAGCAGCCCTCTGGCTTTTTTGTGTTGCGTGAAATGGCTGTGCAGTGCTCCTTAGGGGTGGAAGAGCACAGAGACTGATGAGCTATTCCCATCGCATTTAACCATTGCGCCTATTTAAAAGCAGAACAAGACTTTCCAAGTAGCATCACAATCTCTCCTGCCCCTGCTATGTCTTACTTTGTTCTTTCCACATGCCATTTTTTCCTTCTCATCCCTCTGCATCCATGTTCCCAGGAACAGAGAGATGGTTCTTTTTCAGGCATTTCTGATTGCAGGTAGTTGAACAGTTAAATGCTTTGATTTACTGGCTTCTAATGTAAGCAATGGTTTGCTCTGCTGGTGGGTGGTAAAGCATCATCTGTCTGTTTTGTTCAAACTGCAGGAGTCATTAAGACGAGCTCTGCAGCCTGTGACTGTCTCTTCTGTAGTTACTGTGAAGCAAGAGAAAAAGCTTCTTTAATCGAGCACTACTTTCTGGGCAGGTTGGGAGAGTCAGGAAGGGACCCTGCACAGCTCAGCCATTGTTTTGAGTATTTGAGCATTGAGATATGTTATGAGAAGCCTGTGCCTCTCCACTTGCTATTACCATGAAATCAGAGTGCCTTGCTGTTGTGGGTATGTTGAATTGGCTTAATGGAATAATCTTTGTTCACTTTTCCTGGCAAGCAGGAGGAACTAGTTATTAATTAAATAAAAAATTATTAATACTACTGATTGTGCTAAGAGGCACATGAGAAGCTTTCTGTCTGCCCTGAAATGGGACTTGTAGAAAGGAGGTTTGGTAGTGAAAATATTACTTTTTTTTTAATTATTATTATCATGCTGGGTGTTTAAGAAAGGACTCAACATGGCATGTAGTGCCATGGTCTAGTAGGCAGTATTTGTTCAAATTTGGACTCAATGATCTCAGAGGTCTTTTCCAAACTAAATGATTCTGTGATTCTGTGAAATTATGGGCTGTAGTCAGTATTTCTCCAGGAATTTTCTGTACTTTTTTAAAAAAAGTTCCAAGTCAGTAAAATCCTGATGGCTACATTTTAGCCATCTAAAATGTAGCCATTTTATGGTCCTGGTGGCCTAGTGGTTAGGATGCGGCGCTCTCACCGCTGCGACCAGGGTTCGATTCCGGCCAGGGAAAAACTCCCCCGGGCAGATGGAGCTCGTCAGCCCTGTAAGGCCATCCATCTAAGAGAAGGTCACTCTAAACAAACCTACGTCCAGAGGACCTCGCTGCCACTGTCCAAGCTCGCTCGGCCCCGGCAGATGAACCTCAGGATTAAAGGTTGGGCTCAGTTCAGCGCACACTGTGTCTCACCTAAAAAATCCACTGCGCAGGCTCGAAGGGTAATGACCTTTCCCAAATCTTCGCTCGCGAAGACTGGCCATACATACAACAACATTTTAGCAGAGCTGCTGCAGCCTTTTGAGGGGCTGAGTTTTGGGTAATGGCTTTTCAGCTTGGAGCATACATACCATGAATCAGTAGCTTTCAGGAGTTGCTCAGTGCTCTAGTTTTGGTAAAAAGAAATGGATATATCTTCTTGGTCCTGTTTCTGACTCAGCCCTAAAGGCAGGTTTGCTGTTAAACATGGGTTCTAGGTTTGTGAATGATGGAGAGGTAAACTTGAAAAACTTCCTTGTTGGCAGCAGCTGCATTGGCATTTCAGATCCAGCTTCTTAATTCAGTGATGTTGGTTTTTACCTACCAAAGGGCTTGTGATCTTTAGAGAAAATGGCAACTGGCCCAAACCAATGTACAGTCAGAAAGATACATAGTGTGGTCATGCTGGTTGCGCAGAACAGGAAATAGTGAAGAACAGAGGAGAAGGAACTGCTGGTGTTTAGTCTGAAATGGCTGCAGGGCTCAGCAGGATGAACACACAGCTTATGCAGGTCTGTCCAAGATAAAGCAATACTTTATATTTAATGTAGTTTGGCCAACCAGCCAGGAAACACTGCATAAAAGTTGTCATTAGTTCTTAAATGTAGGCAGTGATGAAATCCCTTCACAGAGAATGGATATCGCTCACTAATGGATTATGCTGCCCCAAAGAATTTAGGTCATTCATGTCCATGGTGTTGTGTCATCATTAGAAAAATGCTGGAGGAAGGAATTTCTTTTGTGAAATGTCTGGCATTCACAGACATTGATTTTAGACAGTTGGATGATGTTTTTTGTGGTTTGCATAAATTAACTGCTTACTAGCTAGGACCCACCTTTTTGTTCTCAGTAAGGAAGATTTCTTGCATCTGGCTGAATTTCTTTGAACAAAAAATTAAGGAAACATAATGTACTGCAGAAAACCTAACTGAATGGAAGAAGATGTGAACAAGTCTTCAGAGCTGTTCTTGGTAATCTCTTAGTATAGCGCATAACTTTCTGCTCACTTCTAGAAGGTGGCAGCACTTTTAGCAGCTATTTTCGTCAAGATGCCAGTTTAAATAAAGGGTTTTACAGTGTGGGACAAGTTAATCAGAAATATTTTTGGGATCTGAAAGGCTGTATTAATTTTCTGGATAAACTGGTTGTGTTTAAGCAAAAACTGTTTTTTTGAATTCTTCCTGTTCTTCTAAGTAAAATTTCAAGGAAAACAGAAACCAAATTTTGATAGCGGTGAGTTGTCCTGATGTTTAGCTCCTTCCTACATACCTTGTACGAGGAAGATGTGTGTTTAATTCACTGTGATTTTTATTTTAGCAGGCCCCTAAGAGAGCACTTTAGCCACTGGCATATTAGGCATTTTGATTAAATCTCCTGTCAGACATTATATGTGCAGGGACACTAAGGTGACTTGTAATTTCTTTAATTAAGTCCTTCACTGCTTAGGGACTGGTCCTCACAGAGAAAACTGTGAACAGGAGAGACAATCAGATGAGTAAAACATCTAGTCTGAGCTTCTCAGTTCCAAACTGAGGTGCAGCAGGGTGTTCAGGCAGTTCACTAAGATGGGAGTTGAGGCTTTTGCTCCTGCATCACTAGAAAAGTGAACTAGGAACTAGTTAGTGGTACTAGGCCATTATCATATAAAATAAGCCTTTCACAAGATAAACCACAGGGTAACTCCAAATTCAGTTAAAAGGCTGCATGGCATATGGCAGGGAACAATCAGTAAAGGAGGAGCAGTTTTCTCCTAATCCTGGTACTTAGGAGTGGGTAGTGACCATTACTACATGTGCTGCATTTGGTGTTAAACTGACTGTTTGTTAAACTTCTTTCTGTTTTTATTTATAGGGCTCTTCCTTATCTTAGGCTTGATACTTTACCCTGCAGGTTGGGGATGCCAGAAGGCAATAAGCTATTGTGGACCTTATGCTTCTGCTTACAAACTAGGAGACTGCTCCTTGGGCTGGGCTTTCTACACAGCCATCGGTGGCACTGTTCTGACGTTCATCTGTGCAGTCTTCTCGGCGCAAGCTGAAATAGCCACGTCCAGTGACAAAGTGCAAGAAGAAATAGAAGAAGGAAAAAACCTTATCTGCCTCCTTTAACTACAGTGGGGGAAAGTACCAGCGTCTGGATCTTTATCTGCTTTCCATTGACTGGACAAGCAGATCCACTTACCTGTTTTTACCATTTGTGTGATTGAGCCCCATGCATTCCAGCCCCGAACTACTGAAAGGGTCTTTCTTCCTTGCTGGGCAATGGGGATCAGAGAAAGGATCCCAAGAAAGCAGAATGTAAATACTTGGGGATATTTTTAGTTTCATTCTGTGATCAGGACACAGTGGAATATATTGATCTGACTGGGGATGTGAGTAAACACCTGTATATAGCAGGAGTGTTGTTATAACTGACAAATTCTGATCGATTGGATTGCCTAACCCACCCTGGTCACTTTGAAGAATTTGGGTTTAAAATAATAAAAGATAGCACATTTTTTTCTTTTCTTATGCAAAAAAGAAGCCTATTTTACTGAGGTTTTGTTTCCAAGGGCTCCCCTCACTGGTGAATATTTCTTCACCACCACCTGATTTGGTACCATACTTTTCATTGAGGTGCTTTTTGATACTGAACCTGGAAAGGAAGTCTATGCTGGAGAGAGCAAAGCTGACTTGATGCAGTTCACACCAATCCTTAAGCATTTAGAAAGTTAAGTCCCTGCCAGGTTTCTCTGTCTTGAAACTTAAGAGTGCAAGGTGTGTGCCACTTGTTACTTAGCAGGTAAATTATTTTGTTTCCACTGACTAGACAGAAAAGTTGTTGTTGCACTGGCTCTCACCTCTCACTTGATTCAGATAAAACTGAAGTATTTCTACAGCCTTTATTAAAACTCCTGAACTCCCAAGGAGATGACAACTCCCCATGGCACCAGCCTGACCTGGGCTACAGCCTCTCCTACAGCTGTGGATCTCATGTTTTACTTCAGCAGTATTTCTTTTTCTGTCATCAATGAAACCTCATTCACGGTCTACAGATCAGTCTGTCTCATGACCCAGAGGCACATTAGTCTTTGGGAAATCAAAATTTTTCAGGAAGTCTGGCCAAATTCTACATGGCTGGGAAGATTTTGTCTTTTTTTTTTTTTTAATTGTGTGTGGTATGGACCTTTTTCCAGTTAAACCAGCAGAAATTAAACAGACCTTGCACAAATGACATTCCTTTCTCAAAGGCAGTTGGTTGTGTTACTTGTGATGTTGCCTCACTTACTAGAACTATTTCGGAAAACAAGTTTGAAAGGTATTTAAAAAAAAAAAATGTAGCTGTGCCATAGGAGCATTGGGGATAATTCATCTGAGAAATAGTTCTAATGAAATACTAGGTGAATTTTAGATTCCTCTTCTTACTTCTAGGTAGTTTGACATCATACAAATGACAGTGTTGCTTCACTGTGTAATACGGAGCAGAGATTCTTGTTGATGTGTGGTCAGTCCCTTAAAGCGTGCCATTAGTTATTTATAGGTATTAAAAAATTATTGCTACTGTACAGGTAGATAGCCAATTTCAAGACACTGCTCAAGTCCTTTGCAACACCAGAGCTGCTCAGCAGCCCTGACAACATGCCCAGGGCCAGCCTCAAGGAAGGGGTGAACAGACACAGAGTTGGGGCCCTCTTCCAGCACCTGCCGTGCCCTACAGACACTGTGGCACAAACAGAGCAGCTCCCAGCTTGCGCCTGTCTGTGCCTAGTGCTCCTTCAGACCATGTGCTGGACGGATACAGAGGTGACTTCTGAGACACAGTGCAATGAATAAGGTCAACTTTTGCCTATCTGCAGAAAGGGACTGTTTTAATCTAGCCTCTTCCTGCATTCACCTGCTCCTGCAACCCACATCCACCATCTTCTAATTTAAAACGGGTAATTCACTTCTCTTTTAAATATTTATTTTAAACACACCCTCCCTCAAAAGTTATGGTCTGGGACCATTTCTGCCAACTGCCTGCACAAAGCACGATTTTAACAAAGCAAAATTACCAGCACAAAGCAGTGCCCAAGGATGAAAATCACAGCCTGCACACTCTGTCCACAGCTGTGTTTGTCTCCTTGGTTTTGCCTCATAAACACACCCCCCCACAACCTGAATGGCATGCACTGGGCTTGTCCCCGGGGTCCAGTGAGGCGTCCTCCAGGCGTCCCTCCTGAGCCCCCACTGGAGCGTGTGCTGGAGCCCGGCTGCCAGCTAAGCTCTGCTGTTGGGAAATGGGGGGCTAGCAGTTGTACAAGTAGCATATAGCTCAGTTAAAAATTAATGAATAAGTAGATTTACTGTTTTAGATTTCCTGGGTGGGTGGCAATCCAATGTCCAGGTCACCACTGCCAACAAATCTTGACACTATATTAGGGTGAGAAATGCTGCTTTGGCTTGAGCACTTGATTAGTCAGAATCAAGTCAGTTCTTCCAAAGTTATAGAGGGCATACACCGCTCTGGCTGAGACGCAAACAATGAGCAATCTTCACTTACGTTACTAGCTGACCTCTGCTGTGATCTACACAATGCTTAAAAAAATTTCAATAGTGCATTTTTGGGGTTTTTTTAAGTACGAAGGAGATATTTTCAGTGGCATATTTTGCTTTTGTTTGCATTTGTAACCAAGAAGAACCAGCTTTTCTGCTTGTTGCTGGTATATTATCAGCTTGCTCTGCAACAGCATAATCAACTAACTTGCAAGAGTACCCACGTTCATCACATTGCAGAGACAGAAGACAGGCTGGGAAGAAATACAGAATAAATATAATCAGAATTTCTTTTCTCAGGGTTCTGTTTTTCTAGCAAGTGATAAGATGGTGTATATACTGCAGATTTTTTTTTCCTGGATGAGGTTTTCATGTGCAGGAGGATGCACTCAGTAAATTTCACAGCTGTTTAAACTGCTCCTGAAGTTCACCTCAGCAGCAGCTTTGGGAGAAAAACAAAAAGAAAGAAAAATCAGCTTAAAGCTAATTTAACTGATTTCATGAGTGGGCTGCAGAGTGTAACTGCTTCTTAATGTACATGCACTGCATAGATCTAGAAAAATTTGCTGTGGATTCTTTCAAACCTGTGTGCCAGTTAATTCAGTTTAACTTTGTTTTTGTGGTATTGAAGAATTCTTCAAACATCTGTGGTTTCATCAACTTCTTAAACTTGTATTCAATAAAGTGCCATAGACCTCTTTAACTGTAGCATATTTAAATATAAATATGTATGTGTGTATATATATGTGTGTGTAGATACACACACACACACATATATATATATATACAAACTTGTGTGAGATGTGCAATACCAGGAATAGATTTTGTGGTGGGCTTTTTTGTTTTTTAACTTTAGTTTTTGCTTTTAAACAAGTGATTTGAAAAGGGACTTCCCAGGGAAGAACTGGCCGGAATTTGGTGGTGTGGATATAGAGTAATGCAATAGAATCACTGATGCTGAAGATTAATACAACAGTAGTAAAAGTGGCTTGAAGAGTTAACAAAAATATCTTCAAGACTGATTTGAATTACTCAGATCTATGTAATACAAACACTTCCAATGTGAAGTTGTGTCCACCTCTGGCCACACTCTACAAGCTGAAAAGGCTCAGCAAGGTTTCTTGATGTGCTTTATTTGTAATGCAGCACTGCAAAAAAACATTGCTACTGAGCTATTGTTTCTAGGTTGTCTATATCACCTTTGTATCTATTTTACTTAATAAAGTTCTCTGGATTCTGAGATTTTTTTTTTTCAGCTAAATCATTTCCATTTTGCTTTGTTACCCCCCATCAGAGTTTCCTATGTCCTAGTGGTAAATGGAAAGGAATTCAGGCCTTCCTTGAAAGCCATGGGCACTGGTGCCTACCTCAAGGAAAGGACAGAGTCCAACAAAAGCAGAGCACGGCAGCCACACAGACACCACAGCTCCTCTGTATAGGAAGTGTGGCTGCACCAATCCAGCTAGAGTAGTTTTTGAGCCATGGTTTATTTGTGGTACTATTTTTCTGTTCTTGAGTCACCACTATGTACATTTGTTAGCATGAATGATGTAACTAATGCCTTATTTTTAATCTAAATTTCAATTAAAATGTGAGTTTTCAAACTTTTAACAGGAGTCTGACTACCTTAATTCAAATATATCGTACAAGCTGAGCCACAGCCAGGTAGCTTTAATTGTAGCTTTAAGAGCATTTAAGATTCCAGCCCAATGATATAGTTCAGATTCTCATCTGACTTTAACAATTCTTACTGCTTACTAATCAAAAGTATGTGATGTGAAATTGTAACTTTGTTATACAATACAGTTGCATTAGCGAGACTTTCTAATTGAATATAGGTCTGAGAAGTGTGTTTCATTTTGCAACAAAAGCACTGCAGTTCCTTTCTCATGTGAAAAGGGGTAACAAAGGTTGTGAAACAAATATTGCTTGATCACACATGGAGTTTTAAAATGGTGTTTGCCACTGTGTGTCTTACCTTTCAACAGTGACTTGGCAAACACTACAGAAAAGCTACAAAGCCAATCTACAGCAGAACCAGGAGTAAGGTTTTCAGCAGTTTAAAGAAAAGTCAGGATGGTTAGTTATTTCTCATAGTTGCTAGGGTCCACTTGTATTAAATTTATATATAATTAATTGCATGGACTTTAATTACAGTTATAACAGTTTCCAAACTTCCAAGTAGCACTAGGTTAAAACCTGGAACATTTAGAAACCTACACTGCAGAAGTAGTTAGGGAATAGGTGCCACTCAATACACCACTTACCTTAGTCACCTTTATGAATTTCAAAGCAGATATAGATACAGCAGTTATTCTATAAATAAAAAAAATACTGCTTGAAGAAATTATGAAGTACTGATTTGAATGGCTAAAAATATTACCTTCATATTTCAGTGAAGTTAATCAGGTTGGCAATAGGGAGCACAGAGTTTAAGTCTCTACTTGTGTGTATTGTTACAGGTTTCTGTATTCTTCCCCAGGCTCCAGCTAGGTTGAGAAAGGTGATGCAATGACAAAGTGGATGTGTATTACCCATATCAGAGGAACAGGAATATTAAAGAAGTTGTCTTGTTCTGTGATTCACTGAAAGCTTGTTTTCAAATAGATGCCTTTTATGTGGAGTATCTTCATATTGGTGGGATTCTGAAAGCGTAGTCCCTAACCAGCTTTAGGTATCACTCAGATGCAGTGGGATCAGTAATTTGGTCTGACCAAGGTAAAGAAAAAAGAATTCCCAATTTAATGACATAGGTCATAGGTGTGACTTGATGATCTCAGAGGTCTTTTCCAACCTAATTGATTCTGTATTCTGACCACTTCCAATTGTTCTCTTACGTTGGACAAAAAGTATCACTGCAATGCCCCATCCAGGATATCCACTTTTTCTTCTAAAACTTCAAAAATACATGCACAACAAAGACAACAGCTCTGCACTGCAAAACAGCAACCGTGCTTTGGCATGTATGCAATGACTGCGGCTCAGGCATACGCAAC